AACTTGTCCTGGCAGGAGGGGTGAGTATAGCTCCGGGGCAGAGCGCCTGCTTAGCATGCATGAGCATGCATGAGGTCCTGAGTTCAATCCCCAGTACCTCCATTAAAAAAATTAAATAAAAATAAACTTTTCCAGAAAAAAACGCATTTGAGCAAGGAGAAGCAAGGGACCAATTGATATAACTGTATTAGCAGTTTTCTTGTGCCTAAGAAGGTGATGGCTTCCTACTGAGCAGGTGGTTCTTCTGGGAACCCAAAGCCTGAGACCCCAGTAATGGGCACAACCACTTAGATGTTTGACAGAAGCATCTCCAGGTGGGGTGAGCAGCTGCCCCAGGATTCCCTGATGGGAGATCTTTCTGGCTTCTCCATGGGTGGATGATTTCCTCCCCGATACAGTGCAGACCCAACTGAGAAGTCCTTCATCCCCTGGCATTTCAACTTCTGTTCTTCTCCTTGGCAGGATTTTATGTTTCAGGGGGAGGAAGGGTGCTATATCTCACATGGAACGGATAGGCCAGCAGAAAACTTGAGACCAAAGCAAAGAAGCCAAGAATGATAACCTTCCTTCCCCACCTTTAAAGGTTCTTGTACTCTGGCTCCAGTGTGGGGAAATCATGTGCTCAGCCAATAAACCCCATGCTGACAGAGGCCCCATTATCCAAACCACCTAGAGGATGGCCTTTAACCAAAGGACCTCAAGAGGCTGAAACCTTGACCTCTAAATTCTCGGCACTTTTAAAAAGGCAAACATTAAGGTGACTCTGTGTAGAAGATTCAGGTTCCATCACGCAGAAAGGGGAAACAGGGAGCCTTTTAACGGTCATCTGGCACAAAGAGAGAGGGCCTGTCCCTGCTTAGATAACCCAAGGCTACCACACTGAGAACTGCCACCAACAACCAGAAAAAAAGAGCACCTCATGGCTTTAGGCTGTGTCCTATCCAAGTGGAAGGCCGGGCCCTGGTCTCACCTGGGACGCTGCCAGAGGATGCTTCGGTTAGAGACTTAAGAGTGGGAACACTGAGCTGGCTCCCAGCTCTGCCGTGATCAGCTGACCAATCCTGCACAAACCCCTGAACCGGTCCAGGCCCCCCTCCCCTTCCTTGTGTGTTAGCAGAAAGATGATAATACCCCTCATGTGGGGTGGTCAAGAGGCTCAGAGAGCAATTGAGCAGATCATGTGGGAGGAATTCTGCTTGCATCTGTTTTCAAGGATACGGATGGAAATTCAGCGTGAAGCTCAAGATGTCAGAGGCCCAGGTGTGCAATTTGAAAATACAGTTCTGTAACCGTTGCCCTGGTTATAACCTTGGATGTCACTGTGGCCTGGGCTCACACCCTGACTGCAGCTGCAAGGTAGTAAATGTGTGTTGTCTGAAACCACAAAATGTGTGATAATACTGTTGTGTGACACAACAGTGGCATGGTAAAAGAATTCACCAGAGATAAAGTATGGGAATGGTAAAGGAGTAAGAGGGTTAGGGTCCGTGAAGGGCGGTGGGATTTATGGCTCTGATAAGGTGGCTGCAATGAACCAGCCTGAGCTATTGTGACATTAGTAGGCACTACCTAGGGCTGTTAGTTTGTTAGGGGAAACACATCCAGTAAAGAATGTACTTTGTCTGTTGAGGGATCACAGGCAGACATTTGAGAGCTCAGATATAGGGGGTCGTTGAACTTGGAAGGACATCAGTTGGCCCAACAAATATTTTTACGCAGCCAGTGACAGCGTGCCTTTTCAGTCGACAGGGGGATCCCTAAAATCAATCTCAGTTTCAGTGATTCACTAAAACTCACAGAATTTAGCAAAGCTCTTATACACATTTTTATTACAGTGAAAGGATACAGATCAGAACCAGCATTAGAAGAAGGCACATAGGACAGGGGCTAGAAGACCTCTATTATCCTCTCCCAGGGGAGTCATGGGAACGATGCTTAATTTTCTCAACACGATGTGTGACAACACACACAATATTGCCAGCTGGGGAAGCACATCCAAGACTTGGTATCCAAGGCTTCAACTGGCACCACCCACATGGCTCACCTTAGATTCCAGCCCCTCCGGAGGTTAAGTTGGCTGGCCCAATGCCCACAGGTAAATAAATACACTCTTATCAGGCAGGATATTCCAAAGGCTTAGAAGTTATCTCCCGTCAAGAGCCTGTCCTTTCTTTGGAAAGTGCAGGGTCTAAACAACCCAAACCTGCCAGAGTTAAACATTTACTTCGAATCCCTGAACTTGGGAAGCGGGATTCTCAAGTCAAATCACCACACTGCACGAAGGCAATCCATGTGTTTTAACGTCCAAGAAACATTTATATGTTTATTTCCCTTATACTCAGAGAGTTTCCGGGATTTAAGCCATACAGCCAAAAGGCAGGATGCAGAGGAAAGGAGGCAGAGATCGGACACTCATACAGAAGCTTCTCCTGACTGGCCGTGGAATAGAAGGCAAGCTTTCCCTCCTCCAGGTCCAGCCAGATGCCCACCACATTAGGTCTGTCTGAGCAGAGGACAGTCTCCTTGACCATGTGCCACACAGAGAGCTGGCTAGTCCCTTTCCACTCTACACACCAGGAGTCCCTAGTCCTTCCCAGGATCTGGTCACGCCTCATTCCCTGGGAAGCCACCCCAACTGCCCAGTGGCTACAATGCTGAGTGTCCACTTCCCAGTATTGCCGTCCAGATGAGAGGGCCTGGGAGCATAAGGCCTGGCAAGAGGCAAACCTCTCATGACTCCTGGGATAGGGCTGGGGGTAGTGAGATACAGTCACCCTCCGGTGATCCTCGGACACCTCCAGGCTACAGGAGAGGCTCCCTAGGTCAAAGGTTGGACTGATGGCCCCTGGGGAAAAAAATAAGAACATGACCAGCCAGCTCTGACCGTTCATGCTAAGAGGTCCTCAAATCGCAAAAAGCAGCTTTGTATCTTTGAGTGTGATAAAGTTTTACTCATACTGGCTTTAAAACTGGTGTATCAGTGGGGAGGGTACAGCTCGGTGGTAGAGTGTGTGCCTAGCATGGACGAGGTCCTGAGTTCAATCCCAAGTACCTCCATTAAAAATAATAATAATAAGTAAACCTAATTAACCCCACAAAAAACAAAAAAACTGGTCCAACAACTTGCAGTTTTCTGTACATACCCCAGATGTCGTTCTAGTAACAATTTCCCCCTTTCCCACCTTCATTTCCACGTACCCATTAGCCCTCTTTCAGGAAGCCCTCTGTGAATCCCACCCAGCGTAAGTCACCTCTGGCTTTTCTCAACACCCCTAGTGCTTTACCTGTTCTCTAGTGATACTTAATGTCTTCTACCTGTAGTACAGTGATTGATAACCATGGCTGTTTATATCTCTCCAGTTACACATAAGCTTCCCGATTAGGGGTCATGTCTTACTCATTTTGTATATTTCATACTCTTTCCTTCCTATTAAGGGAGTAACTAATTGCTAACACTCACATAGCGTTTCTACTCTAGGCTCAAACTTAACACATATTCACTCATTTAACCCTCATGACAACCAACCCCACGAGGGAAGTAAGTACTATTATTGTCATACAGATGAGGGAACTGAGGCTCTAAGAAGTCACCCGACTGGCCCAACATCACACCACTAGTGAGCAGAGCAGCTGGGAGTCGAACCCAAGCAGTCTGGCTCCAGGATCTGTGCTCTCAAGGCCTACTCCAGACTGGGGCAGTGATGGTATTTAAACAGGTTTGGGGGATTGGCAGTTTTGGTTGTTAAGTGGTGGCCCTGGTATGGATGCCCAAAGGTTGCCTGGGTTCTGAATGCTCATGGGTCTGGCTTAACCTGGAATTTGGGAATGTTTAACCCCTTTCGTCTTTGTAATCGGCTCCCCATGCGGAGGGACCAAGTGTAGGGGCACTAGCCAAGGAGTGAGCCCAGCAGCAGAGAGATAGATACAGCGAGCTTCTGCAGCTCCTCTCTGCAGCTGGCCAAACCCAACTTTTAAGCAGACCACATACTTACACTGAGCAAACGAGGAGGTCCTCTTGGGTGCAAGGTGGCTCTGGACAGGCAGTGGGCATGAGGAGGAAGACGGAGCTTCCGGAAGTTCAACTAAGGAATCTAAAAAATTGGGATGGGAGGAAAGTCACATCCAAAAAAAAAAAGTCAAATAATTTGCAGCAACATGGATGGACCTAGAGATTATTATACTAAGTGAAGTCAGACACAGAAAGACAAACATCATATAATATTACTTATGTGTGGAATCTAAAAAAATGGTACGAATCAACTTACTTACAAAACAAAGAGACTCATAGACATAGAAACAAACTTATGGTGCCAAAGGGGAAGGCAGGGGAGGGATAAATTAGGAATTTGGGGTTAGCAGATACAAATTACTACATATAAAATAGATAAACAACAAGGTCCTACTACATAGCACAGGGAACTATATTCAATAGCTTGTAATAACCTGTAATGAAGAATATGAAAAAATATATACATATGTGTATAATTGAATCATTATGCTGTACACCACAAACTAACACAACACTGTACATCAACTATACTTCAATTAAAAAAAAAACAATGCAGAGAAGTAAATGCAATAGAAAGTGAATACTGTTCACACCCTGCCCCGAAAGTTCTGCTTCTCTCTATGGAATTCATGATTGTTAATAGCTTGGTGTTTATCCTCTAAAAACTTTTCTATGACTAAGATGCAACTTTTTATTCATTAGGGTTTATAAAGTTAATTTGGTGGTTTCAGTGTCTATGTTTGCTCTTGCAGAAGATTTTCTCAGAATTAAAATGTTTGGTATTTATTTTAAAAAAAGGAAAATAGAAGTTATCCACACATTGTCATCAACACACAAAGCTTATCTTCCTCATCATGAGCAGAGTTTTGAGTGCCAGGGATTGATCAGGCACTATATCCAGCTTAGGGATGTCCAGCCCCATGTCCTTACCTTTTATTGTCTGTTTCCCAACTATGTTCTAAGCTCCTTGCTGGCAGAGACCTTGTTCGTTTGCATTCTAAGCACAAGCCCAGCATCAGGTGCATATGAATGTTTCATGTATATTTATCAAATAAGTTAACCAACATGGTTCCAGAGAGTCACATCACCCTGACACCCAGAATATCCATGGCCCCCAGGTCAATGCTTTAAACTGTTGTACAATTGGGGGCCATGAGTTGGCATGAGATTCATTACAAATGCTGATACCTAATTCCCTCTCAATGTGCTAAAGTTTAATTGTTACCTTAAAGCTACTGTGTGCTTGCAATGACCATAGTAGGTAGGAGAAGAGAAAGGAAGGGAAATGCTAGAGCATGGACCATGAAGGTGAACTCTTCCCCCGTCTTGAAGAGACAGCAGAACAAAGTGAACCTAAGGGTCAGACTGAAAAGAGACAAAAGACCCTCTTAGGTTGTGGGTTGTGGGCACTTTAGATCATGAGAGTAGGAGAGCTGCCCTTCAAGGAGCTGTGCTCAAAATCCAGGTGGGGACCACTGTTCTTCTACCAAGCTGATACGGTTTTTATTTATCATCAATCATAGCTTTTTAAAAATTTTGCAAGAACTGCTGGTTACTTACTTCTTAGCTAACGTATTTTTTCCCCTATGGATGGGGAAAATAATCTACACTTGACTGGTTGGTTCTTAAAGATACCTAGAAAAAAATATACATGATGTACATTGATAAACGCTGAGTAGCTATTAAATAAAACACTGGCAACTCTTAAATACATGAAAGTATCTTGATATGTTCATCTCTCTGGATATAAACTCAGTAACTTTCCCATTGACTATGATAGGCTTTGTGAAAGAAGAAAAAATAATGCTTTATTAAACAGTCGATTTTATAGAAATATGTGTTACATAAACTTAATTACTGAGAAATTGCTTTATAATAGAATCTAAAGAATCTCATTTCTCTACTAACAGAATAAACCACAGGCTTTTTTTTTTTAAGTAGCCAAGATCCCTTGGGAATTTAAAATAATTTAATAATTTCAGGAACAAGTCTTTTACAGCATCTTTCTGTTTAAGTAGAATCGTTATGCAAAAAAAATTACTGTTGACCCTGAAACAGCATAGGTTTGATCGGTGAAGGTCCATTTATAAGCGGATCTTTTCAATATACAAAAATATACATGTAGAACACTATGCGCAAGATTTGTATTGAAGTGGATAGCCTGTCCTTACATAAGCATAAGGTGAGTGATATTTAATATAAAATTAATAATGGGTTAGTTTCCTGTCTCTTCCTCTATCAGCCTATCATCACAGGTAAGTATTTTTTTAATGTAACAATGTTTCTAATACTGTGTTATGATTATGACTGTAATATTGAATGCCATAAAAATTTTATAATGATTCACACATTAGTGTATAAACTAGGCTACCGGGAAGTTACCATATTGATTACACTAGGCTACCATAAAGCAAGCATATTGCTTTTTCTTTGTTATCAATGCATGAATAGTTACACCTGTAAATAAATATGAATTTCTTTTTCATATTATCTTGTCATATATATATATACTTTTACAAAATTTGTTATTACACACTGGATCATTCTGGCAGGCAGAAGAAACCTGACAGTGAACTCTAACTAATCTGCATGAAAGATAAATCACAATGGTTGGGGAAAAAAAATTACAGAAGAAACAGAAAGAAAAAGGGAAGAGGGAAAAAGGGAAAGATAGCATTTGTTAAATGTAGTAAGTCTGCACAAGTCACTACCACTTGAACAGCTTCATTTATGTGAAGGAGGAGGCAGGGGAGAAGAAGGGGGTGGGGACTGGCAGACAGCCTGCCCCATGTGACCCACATACTGGTAGCTCCCGGAGGCTGTGCTTGTGCAAACCGTTGTGACATCAGTGGCTGTGGCTGCTGCCCAGACCAGCCTATCCCGCTGACCCTCTGGCCAGGGCTCTGTGAACATCTCCCAGCCCTCTAAGTGCCAGCACCGTGTTATCTTTTGACTTTTGATGTCTAGTGTTACTAATATGTATAACATCTGCAGTGTTTTTTTAAACTTTATTTATTTATATATTTGTTTTATGCTACCATATTTTTGTTATTATAAAATAAATTGACTGTACTTTAAAATAAATAAAATAAAATAAAATAAAATAAAATATTGGCTATATTCCCCACATTGTACAGTACATCCTTGTAGTTTATTTTATACCTGATAGTTTATGCCTCTTAATCCTCCACCTCCATCTTGCCCCTCCCCCTTCCCTCTCCCCACTGGTAACCACTAGTTCTTTTTCCACATGCATCTACAGTGTTTTTTTTTTCTTAAATCATAAAAGACAATATTGATGTAGGTACTGACAGATGATTCATCTCATAAACAGATGATGTAAACTTACGGTATAGATAAATACAGTACAGTACTAGAAATGTATTGTCAATTCCTTATGCTTTTCTTAATAACATTTTTTCTACCTTACTTTATTGTAATGATACAGTATATAATAAAACATAAGAAATATGTTAAGAAATATAAATAAATAAAAATAAAACATAAAAATTAATTAACTGTTTATGTTATTAGTAAGGCTTCTGGTCAACAGTAGGCTGTTAGTAGTTAAGTTTTGGGGCAGTCAAAAGTTATACTCAGATTTTTGGCTGCACGAGGATTTGGTGCCCTTAACCCCCATGTTGTTCAAAGGTCAGTCGCGCTCCCCGACAATTAAATTCGTATTACAAATAATCACCCCTGCTGGGTAAGCTGCACCAAAATGCTTATCAAAACTTTATTAGTTTTGATCTCCTGGAAAGTTGTCCAAAATGCAAATCCTTGGGGCTTGCTGCCAGAGATGCTAACTCAATAGTCTTGCAATGAGCCCTGGATTCTGCATTCTTATCAGTGTTACAGAGAGTTCTAGGCCACACCTTGAGAAACCCTGTTCTGTCTAGGTTGTGTGATTTCCATGGTGGGTCATGGTGTACTTACATAGGGTCAAAGGAAATCATTGTGAGGCAGTCAAATTACTTAGCAGCTGTTAAAGTGCTGACCTGAAGGGAAATTAATCTATTGTCTTAAAAACAACTTGTGAGAACTTCTGGGAATGATGTTTCAGGAAATGGATATATTCAGATCTTCTGTTTTCAAAATGTCCTGGACTGGCTCAAATAAGCAAAATCAAAATAACCACAGAGAAAGAACGATATTGTACTTGCTAAGGCATACTTGAATTTTCTAAGTTAAATTTTAAAAATACCTAATGTGTATACTTAATTCCTCAAAAAATTAAAAACAGAATTACCATACGATCCATCATCATTTGCACTTCTGGGCATAAATACAAAAGAGGAAGCAAGATCTCAAAGAGATATTTATACACCCGTGTTCACAGCAGCATTATTTACAATAGCCAAAGGGTGGAAGCAACCCAAATATCCACCAATGGATGAATGGATAAACAAAATGTGGTAGATATATGTATACAATGGAATATTATTCAGCCTTAGAAAGGATGGAAATCCTGACACAGTCTACAACATGGATGAAACTTGAGGACATTATGCTAAGTGAAATAAGCCACTCACAAAAAGATAAATACTGTATAATTCCACTTACATAAGCTATTTGGAGTAATCAACCTCATAGAAACAGAAAGTGGAATGGTGGTTGCTAGGGCCTGGAGAAGGAGGGTATAGGAAGTGACTACTGAATGGCTATACAGCTTCAGTTTTGCAAGATGAAAAAGTTCTGAAACTTGGTTGCACAGTACTTAACACTACTGAACTGTACACTTAAAAAGGGTTAGGATGGTGGATTTTGTTATATGTGTTTTATCATAATCAAAAGTAAAAATTAAAAATACATACTTAAATAATCATGAACAGTCATAACTTTTCCCAAGAAATCACATTTCTCCAGTTGAATAAGGAGTAACATTTCAATCAGAGCAACGCCATTAAATATAAAAATGTTATAAAAGATATGTCTCTAAAGTGGTGTTATGTAAATATTATTATTTAATACACCAGAAATTGACACACCATTGTAAACTGACTGTAACTCAATAAAAAAGAAATAAATAAAATAAAAAATACAGGGACCAGCCATGTGGATAAAAAATTCATTAAGGCACATGCTAGGATAAATTTCAAATGGATGAAAGATTTTAAATACAAAATGTGAAACCAAAGATTTAAATATAAAAGTGCATAAACACACATACCACCTGGGGTAGTGAAGTTTTCTAACTAAAACTTAAACTCTAGAAGCCATAGAAGAAAACACTGATAAAACTTACTACTTGGAAATATAAAAATGTCTATATGGCATTCTAAAACCCATGCTAAAAAGAATCAAAAGGTAAATGGCAAATTGGAGAACAAAATTTGCAATTCATATTACAGACAAAAGGCTAATCTCACTGGTTTACAATGAGTTCCTAAAAATCAAAATTTTAAAGGACCAACAACATAAGATAGAAGTAGACAATTCATGCAGAAATGCAAATTAAAAGTTCCATACACTCATTTATCACTTTTTTTTAAGCCTTTAGGTTGGGGGAAAAACATTATAAAAGTTTGACAGCACATTGCTGTGCCTGTTGGCAGGCTGTGGGGAGAAACATTTCTTCTGTAAGAGTGTAAATCGGTATAAACAACCAGAGAGCAGTTTGGCAATGTATATCAAAATTACAAATGAATTTGCCCTATGACCCAGAAATCCTTTCTGGCAATTTAGCCTACAATTATACCTGCGCCTATATAAAATGATGTCTGTACAGTTATTGATTTCAGCATTGTTTGTAATTATAAACAATTGGAAGCAACCATGCATCCATCAGGAGAGGGCTGGATAAATAAATCCCTAAATTGGAATATTATGTAGCTTTAAAGAGAAAATGCTTGAGGTACTGATTTTTAAAGGTATCAAGATACACTAAGTAAAAAAGAAAAGCAAAATGCAGAACAGTGTATATACTATGCTACCTTTTGTGTAAAAAGCATATATTGGGGATGATAAGAATATAAAATTTATGTTTGCTTGTACCTGCACAAATAAATTCTGAATAGGTACTTAAGAAAACTAGTAAAGGTGGTTAACTGAGATGGGGGAAAAGAGGAATTGGACAAAGTGGGAAAGAGACTTTTATTGTATGTCTTTTATATTGTTTGGATATTGATTTGATATTGATTTTTGAATTAAAAATTCTAAATTTACTCGCCAAATTTAAAACTTGATTTTATTTTATTTTTTATTTCATTTTTTAAATGAAGTACGGTCAGTTACATTGTGTCAGTTTCTGGTGTACAGCACAATGTCCCAGTCATGCATATACATACATTCATTTTCATATTCATTAAAGGTTATTAAAAGCTTGATTTTAGATTTTAAATTAGGAACCCAATGTAAATTTAGGAGCACACAGGAACCAAGAGGGCACTTATTTCTGTGAGTCTGTTTTTGTTTTGTAAATACGTTCATTTGTGTCATTTTTTTAGATTCCACATATAAGTGATATTTCTTAGATAATTTCTGAAACAACTGATAAACTGTGCTTTAACTGGTTTCCTTAAGAAACTTTTCCCAAGGCATTATATCTCTCCATTTAAATAAGAAATTTATAAGCAGAGCGAGATGGTTTAATTATTTAAAAGCTCTAAGAGATATGTCTCTAAAGTACAGAAAGCTGGCAGGAAGACCAGAATGCTTGTCTACGGGGCAGGTGTGAACTGTTTTCAGTCACAACCAGGGGACAATAAAGAACCTACAGAGTTAGGACAAAAAGGTTCTTTTCTACATTGTTACTATTTAATATTAATGCACTCGCTAGAGATTACAGTTGAATAGAATTTATCAAGAACTGTTTAGAAAGTTGCATGCTTTGTTCATAAAGACATTTACTAGTGGAAAAAAGTTGCCAATTTCTGAATTTCCTCAGGTAGATAACACAGATGGGCGGTGAGCTAGCAAAATTAGGCAGAAGTTCTGGATTTATAGGTCTCAGAAAACACATTTCTATCTATTAAGGGCCTGTGTTACATCATAGGTCCAGGCAGGTCCAAAAACACATCCAGCCACAAAAATACCTCGGCCCACTCCTTCCTCATTTGCATCACAAGGATAAGGCAGCTGGGCTCTGGGATCCTGTTACTAAAAAACAAAGTCATGGAATGCTTCCCCAGCGTCCATATTTAAACCTCCTCCAACAAATAAAATGCACTTACCCTGCATTTGTTCTTCAAGGGCCTCTTTCCACGTGAAGTTTTCTCGTAATTTTTCCTGGATCTCTTCAAGGTCACGCAGAATGTCTCCCATTTTCCCATCAGGTGTGTCGGAAGTCACTAGTTTTGGAGAAGCCAAGGAAAGGTCCACCCCACCTGACAAAGCCTATTGATAAATAATTAACAACAACAACAAAAAAAAACATGGATGGACTTAGATATTATCATACTAAGTGAAGTAAGCCAGAAGGAGAAAGACCAATACCATATGACATCACTTGTATGTGGAATCTTAAAAAAAAGACACAAACAATGAAACTTATGGTTGCCAAAGGGGAAAGAAGAGGGGAGGAATAAAATTAGGAGTTTGAAATCAGCATATACACATTACCAGACATAAAATAGATAGCGAGGACCTACTGTATAGCACAGGGAACTATATTCACTACCTTACAATAACCTATAATGGAAAAGAACCTGAAAAAGAATAGATAAATATATGTATAACCGAATCACTCTGCTGTACACCTGAAACTAACACAACATTGTAAATTAACTATACTTAAATTTTTTTTAAGTCCAAAAAATAAAAATAAAAAAGAATGAAGTTATGAAAAAAAAGCAAACTTACAGATGTAGAGAACAAACTAGTGGTTACCAGTCAGAAGAGGAAAGAGGGCATTGGGGGCAGAATGGCAGGTCCAAACTATTGGGTGTAAGGCAGGTTATGAGGACGTATTGTACAACACAGGGAATGCAGACAATGTTTTGTAATAACTGTAAATGGAGTGTAACCATTAAAAATTGCACCCAATTTTTTTAATTAAAAAAAAATAATAAGGTAGTAGTCGACTGTGTCAAAGGCTGCTGAAAGGACAATGAAGATAAAGAGCTAGAATGTCTGCAGGATTTGCACAGAGGTCACTGGTGATCCCAGAGCTGGGTAGGTAGAGTGATAAGGATAGAACCTAGTCTGCTTGAAGCTTCCGTACCTCACCTCAAGCCTTCCAAACTCCCCACCATCCATGTTTGATAGTGAAGAGCTAGGGAAATGATTGAGATTTACTGCTTCCTTTAACTGCAAACATATTCAAGTTGCTCCCTCAGGGTCCCCGGGAGCTGCCCGTAGCCCCGCCCCCTGGCCCATCCCTTCCACTCCCAGATGAGCCTACCTCAGCCAGGATGCTCACTTGATTGTCTGCTCCAGATTCTGGGACATGTCTCTGCCTCTGAAGGCTCCTGACAATATCTACAAGCTGTTCCACCAGCTCTGCCAGCTCCCGGCCAACTTCTGCGATGCTCTTGTGTGCTGCCACCTTTAAAAGAGCAAAGCAGAACGCAAAGCTGGATGCAGGAACCAGCTCTACACAGAGGGAGCTGTAAACGCTGGATAAAGGAAGCACGCAAGGAAGTGACAAAAATGTATTAGAAGGTAGGGAGGTAAACTCCCTGGAACTTTTGCATGCCTGTTTCCCCCCACTGGTTGTCTAGTGGCCATATCAGGGAACCAGAGTTCATATGGGATAGGGGGACAGGAGTGAAGCATGAAGGGGAGCCTAGGGGTCATTTTGAACAGGGGAAGTCAGACAGGAAATGGGGTGAGAGCCTGGAGATTTGGCAGCGGAGGTGGTGGCTGATGTGAGTGGAAGGGATTTGGCTCAGGAGTGAGCTCCACTCTCACCTCTGAATCATCCTGTGTCTTCATCACTCCTTTCAGAAATGAAAGTGACCATCCCTCCTTCTCTTCAACAGTGAAAAAGATTTACTGTGAAAGGATCTTGGAGACTCTAAAGCGATGTAGAGATGAAAGCTCTTTTTGTTTGTTTATGGACATCCTTCACATTGAAAGAAACATTCCCATGAGAATGCTAAACAACTCCACTTAAAGAGCTTAATCTGCTCAGCTGCCAGGTTGGGAGTGGGAGGAAGTTTTGCAGCCAACATATTCTGGCAACAACCTCAAGACCTGGTGACAGTCATCAGAGGCAGACGGGGCCCAGACCTCCATGGAGAACTTTGCATTACCTCCAAAGGGGGCCCTACATAGAGCCACAGCAATACAAGATGTTCATCAACTCTAAATAAAGCAGTTTTTAATAACTTTTTTGGGACATTTTTCATTTTTAAAATTATGGAACCTCAAAAACTGGAACCAGAACCTTTTTCGTCTTTGAGAATCACTGATGTGTCTCAAAACAGCATATGTTTTGGAAGCTATAATCAGGCTATTTTATAGAGGGAGGTGACTGCCCACCAGTAACACCGTCTACTCTTCAATTTTCAGGTCTCCAAAATACACAGGCAGCTAGAATTCTGTAGTGGACCCTTATCCAGGCACCTGAGGAAATTAGGAACTTTAAAAAATAAGTGTGTTGATTTTTCTGTCCATCAAAGAAATGCACACTCACTGTGGTGAATTTAGAAAATGCAGAGAATGCGATAGAAGAAATGTTTTAAATCATCCAGTATGCTACCATCCACAGACAATTGCTTTAATTTAAAAGCCAATGGAAGAATATGAAAACAAATATAGGTATGTTCTTATATGACTTAAGTATTGTGCTATACACCAGAAATTGACACAACATTGTAAACGGACTATACTTCAATTAAAAATATATATATTATATATATATAAAGTCAATGGAAAATATATTCAGTCACTATAAACTATGTTAATAAAGAGTTTTAAGGAACTAAGAGATAATGCTGTATTTATAATCAAAAAGAAGACAACAGCCTTATTTATAGTGGGGGAAAAATGGAAGCAACCAATATACCCAGCGAAAGGTGAATGGGTAAACTGTGGTATGGCTATGTAATGGAATATTATTCAGCAATAAAAAGAAATGAGTTATCAAGCCACAAATCATAATTTTGCTTAGTGAAAGAAGCCAGGCTAAAAAAAGCTAGATGCTGTATGATTCCAAGTATCTGACACTCTGGAAAAGGCAACACAAAAAAGATAGCAAAGAAATCAGTGGTTGCCAGGAGTTGGGGTGGGGGTATACAAATAGGTAGAGCACAGCGGGTTTTCAAGGCAGTAAAATTGATATACTGTAACTGCAGATACATGACTTCATGCATTTGTCAACACCCATAGAACTGTACAACATGAAAAGTGAACCCTGATGTAAACTATGGATTTTAGTTAATAATAATTCATGAATTTTAACAAATGTACCAAACCAATGCAAAATATTAATAATAAAGGAATCTGGGAGGGGTATATGGGGACTTTCTGTTCTATCTGCTCAATTTTCTGTAAATCTAGAACTGCTCTAAAAAACAGTTTATTAATTAAATTTTTAAAGAGAGGAGTGGGCTGTTTTATAAGTTCTTTTACCATCCACTGTCCCCCAACACACACACACACGCACACACACACAAAACAAGGAACAAGCAGAAACTGTCAGAACCAACTTTGTCAGAACTCGGGAAAACACTGAGTCAAAAAAGAGCAACCTGGGGGGTGGGGGGTTTGGCTCAGTGGTAGAGTGCGTTCTTGGCATGCATAAGGTCCTGGGTTCAATCTCCAATGCCTCTATTAAGGGTAAAAAAAAAATTTAATTAAAAAAAAGAGCAATGTGGCAGTAGGAAAGTTTTGTGGTGTTTTGACTTGCCCCTGCCCCATTCCCTCCTTGGCTCAGTGACAGGATTGAAAATTCCCAGTGTGAAACCCTAGTCCCAGTTCCTGAAGGAGCAGAGCAGACCTTATTCACAAATCTGTATGTCTGTTCCAACCCGGCTGGGGGCTGCCTGAAGGAATGACACAGGGTGCTCATATTTGTTTCACCTAACTTGGAGCTTGGACCAGAAAGGTGGTGGATATTTCTCAAAAGTGCTGCAAGCGAGATAAACTTGCAGGTGTCTGGGGCAAAGACTGCAGTCGAAACAGACAACAGACTTAAGTTCCAGGAGCAAAAGTTGGGGAAAATTGGAATCCTCCTACTTTGTTAATGGGCATGCAAAATATCATTGTTGCTGTGGCTGTTCCTCAATAAGTTAAACATAGAATTACCATACGACCAACCAATCCCACACCTACCCAAAAGAACTGAAAATAGCAACTCAGATTCTTGTATACTAACCAATGTTCAACACAACGTTACTCCCAATAACCCAAAGATGGGAACAGTCCAAATGTCCATCGATGTATGAATTGATTAAAAAAAAAGGTGGTATAATCATACAAGGGAATTAGTATTCAGCCACAAAAAGTAATGAAGTTCAGACATATGCTACAACATGAATGAATCTTCAAAACATTACAGCAAGAGAAAGAAGCCAAAGCCAGAAACAAAGGGACAAATATTGTATGATTCCACTTGTCTGAAATATCCAGAGTAGGCAAATTCATAGAGACAGAAAGTAAATTAGACTTAAAAAAAATAGCTAAAAATAGATTTACCATATGATCCAGCAATCCCACAATCCCACAATCCCACAGCTGGGCATATATCCAGAGAAAACTCAAAAAGATACACACATCCCAGTGCTCATAGCAGCACTATTTACAATAGCCAAGACATGGCCACAACCTAAATGTCCATTGACAGATGAATGGATAAAGAAGATATGGTATATACATATACATATATATGTGTGTATATATATATACATATATATACACACATATATATATACATGTATATACATGTATATATATACATATATATACATATATATGTGTGTGTATATATATATATATATATTAGAATATTATTCAGCCATAAAAAAGAATGAAATAATGCCACTTGCAGCAACATGGATGAACTAGAGATTATTATGCTAAGTGAAGTAAGCCAGAGACAGAAAAATAACATATATCACTTATATGTGGAATCTAAAAAAAATGACAAATGAACTTATTTGTAAAACAGAAATAGACTCACAGACATAGAAAACAAACGAAAACAAACTTAATGACTACTAGGAAGGAAAGGGGCTGAGGAGGGATAAATTGGGAGTTTGGGATTCGCAGATACTAACTACTATATATAAAATAGATAGCAAGATGGGGAAGATAGAGCTTAGTGGTAGAGTGTGCGCTTGGTATGCACAAGGTCCTAGGTTCAATCCCCAATACCTCCATCAAAAAAATCTTAAATAAATATAGTTACCTCCCCCCGGTGAAAACAAAAACAATAAAATAGACAAACAACAAGGTCATATTCTATACTCAGTATCTTGTAATAATCTGGAAAAAGAAAAAAAGGAAATATATGTAATATGTAAGAGAATCACTATGCTGTACACCAGAAACTATTACAACACTATAAATCGACTATACTTCAATTTTTTTAAAAAATGTAGATCAGAGGTTAAAGGGGCTGGAGGGAGGAGGAGTGATAAATTATTGCTTCATGGGTACAGATTTTTCTGTTTGTGGTGATTAGTTTTGGAACTAGATAGTGGTGATGGTTGCACAACATTGTAAATATCACACCACTGAATTGTAAATTTTAAAATGGTTAAAATGGCAATTTTTATGTTACATATATTGACACAATAAAAAAACTTTCAGAGAGACAGACTGCAGAAAGGCTGGAAAGATGTGGAAATAGGTCAGGGTGTAAAGCACCAAAGTTGGTAGGATTTCTTCTACTTATTTTTCTGAACTTTCCAAAGAACAGGTTCCACCTTTAGCCTGAGAAAACTAATATGAAAGTAGACAAGATAGGAAAGGGAAGAGCGCCATAGG